CGAAGATTGTTAGACAGGTATACCGTGGACATAAATCTGTAGCCTCAGTCTTTCAGATTTCGACAACAAATCTATAAAATGAAAATATTGAACTTGAAATTTTGAATTTAATAATGTATATGCATCCGTAACACCTTAACATACAGTATCGACAATGAATTATCAACACCATCACAATTTGTTAGTTTGAAATGATGATACTTTCACTTTGAATGCTGACCGTTAAAATTTATATTTTGAGTCCTTACTTGTTGTTGTAGATTTTTTAAGAAGGATAATGTTTATATGAATTGATRAGCRTTAAATACTAWTCGACGTGGATCGGAATAATCCTTGAAATCATCGTAATAGAATGCTGTATCTATGAGACATATTGACACGATATCTCCTAAAATGACTTCTGAAATCAACAGATTCTTATACAAGAGCTTGCAGACCTCAAAAATCACTTTTTGTGTGTTTAAAAAGCCATTTCTGTATAAAACACCTGGCATCTGGGTTACAGATTTCTAAATGCCCGTATGTTTACAGAAAAAAAGATAGTGACTGTATTAACTAATGTAGTCCCTCACACACATCATCTATCTCCCTCCTATAACTCTTCGATTGCTTCACAATCTTCAAGTTAAAAAGGAAATAAAATAACTTAAAACCAGTGTACMTAAAGACTAAAGAACATTTATAGTACAAAATATTACATACAAATAAATCCCTTCCAGGAAAAAAAGAACAAAAACAAAGGCCAAGCCTGCAATTTTCAATATACATGTGAAATAATCAAACACGTACGTACAAGCTATGATTACATCAAATGGACGAAATAACGATTAGGTTATCATTATAAGAAGCATTTATCCTATGTTAAATCGTGATCTTCGACAGATATAGATGCGTTTTTACGGCACGTGATCATGTATATTTCAAAACAAATTTGCATCGTTGCTGTTAGTTTCCAGGCACGTACCGTCCTTTAGGCATATACACGCACKTGCATACTTGTGCCAAGGTAATATTGAAATTTCCAAAAAAAATTACTAAAAAATTCACATAAAATTGATCCCTTTTATATGCCCTAGATGTCTCTCAAAATGCCGGAACTCATATTTTCAGACTCCCTTAATACACCAACACAGCAATACAGCAACAGTTACTTTGTCCGATGAATTCATTTGTCCTAATTTAAAATTTAAATATGAGCCGTTGTTTGCAGTTTATTTGATATTTTAGGAATCGTTGTTGCTCATWAATGTATTTAGACTTTTTAGAAAACGTTGAGTCAATTACTGGATAGTCRGTGAAACAAAATTCAACGTTTCGACCGAAACCATCGGTCTTCATCAGGGTTATGAGCCTGTGGAGTTGACACCCCAAAAAAACCAGTAACAACTGGATGAATAATTTACATTTTGATAATGTGTTTAGACATTAAAGACGAAGAACTCTGTCGCCTTTGAGGTCTTTCCWCCCTAATATAAAATCGCAGTTAACCAGAAATATTATTGCTATCTTAGACTATCAGTTAACCATACTGTAACGGACCGAGAAACGGCTAGTAAACACACAGTATTGAATCGTTGAAGGAACTTTAATGCTTATAGCAAGTGAACTGAATACCGGTATTTGTTACAATAGTGCTCTATTTATGTACAATTCTATGTCTAATTTAGTTCCATTTGTAATCATTATGTATATGTTGTAGTTCAGGTTCAATATGATTTTGAACCAGTTCAATTTCTTCTGAACTGGTTCAGTTTATTTTGAGCCAGTCCAATATAACTCAATCCAGTACAGATCAGTTTAGGGTAAGGTTTAGCGTTAGGTTTTGGGTTAGGTTTAGGGTTAGGTTTAGGGTTAGGTTTTGGGTTAGGTTTAGGGTTAGGTTTAGGGTTAGGTTTTGGGTTAGGTTTTGGGTTAGGTTTTGGGTTAGGTTTAGGCTTGAGCCAGCATCATATGAAAAGTTTCTTCATTAATAAATTACAATTAAGATAAAAACAATTTGCAAAACATTACTGCCAACAAAATCCTTGATGGTATAATTGGTACTACTGTGGACTATGAAGCAAGAGTTCAGTGGTTCGAACCGTGATGAAGGTAAGTGTTATTCATAAATTAAAAATATAGAAAATATCAATATTTCTGTGGGGTATAGGGTAAGATAAAGTAGGAAATAGTAGAAGGTAGAAAATAAGATGATAGATAGAAAATGGGAGAGAATGAGATGGGATATAGTTCTTTTAGTTCTTTTAAGAATGCMAAAGCAAAAAAAAAAAAAGACCAGTACAAGAAGTCTTGTACTGGATCAAATTATGGTAGATTAAACTGGTTCAAAAATATATTGAACCTGAACTACAACATATACATGCGTAGGCTAGTCTAACTCAAGATTTATGCAAGGGAAGTTAAGAAATTACATACTGGAATTCCCTGCTAGCAGAGGCTTACATGGTAAATTCTGTCACGACACGGTAAATTCTGTCAMGTACAGAATTTACCGTGTAAGCCTCTGCTAGCAGGGAAATACTGGAATAACGGATAACAACATTACGGATTATCCCGAAATCAGATATTGAGTTACGTAAGGGTATCAGTAAACTAGACATTTTTGCTATCTTAGACTATCAGTTAACCAAACTTTATTGCCGTGTAAGTCAATAACATAACAAACATTATTTCTGTCTAAGTCAAACAGTAAACCAGACACTTCRCTGTCTAAGTCAAAAAGTTAACTAGACGGTTTGCATATATTAGTCAACCATATGAAGGGGCAGCTGCTAAAACGGACAAAATGACTTTTTATTTCATGACTTTATCAAAGGAAATAATGAGAAATAAGTAGCAAACATGACTATTTAGACTGAAAATACTTGATATACACCTACTTGCAGAAACGTTGTCATAGAAAATAGAACATTTGAACTTAGTAAAGAGGAAAAAATTAAAACAAGACAAAAGAAAGCGTTCAGCCTCAGTGATCTTCTTTTGTCTTTTTTAATTTATTCCTTTTTTACTAAATACAAATGTCCTATTTTCTATGACAACGTTTTCGCAAGTAGGTGTAAGTGATTTTTTATTTATCAAAAATTTCAAAAATACCTTAAATAGTCACTTTCTGACTTTGACTTTGTGCAGCCTACCCAAGGCTATTCTGTTGGGGGTACAGAAAGCCTGACAAAAGCAAATGCTGCAAAGGAGACTAATAATCTAAAAACTCACTAAAAAAAATTCAAACTAAGTAAGATTTTGATCTTATTTTGATTTAATTCAATCACTCTTGAAAAAGATTAAAAAAATAACAAAAAGCAATAAAGAATAAAAGACACAGTTGTTATTTTGCCAGATTTGATATATTCTTTCTATGGCCAACAAATTCTAAATTTTGAGTCATCAGTGAGGAAAAGGCCATAACCAATCATTGTGATTAATACTTAAAATAATTATAACTTTTGTTTTCAGGTGAATGGCATTTACCATGTTTAGTATTACCATTATTCATTGTTGAACAAAACTGAAGCACTGCAAACTTGGTATAAAATCAAATCAAATGACTATGAAGTTCTTGGCAAGAAGATAATACATGCCTTGGGTTTTGAAAAAATATGTAAATTTAATTTTATAAATGTATGAAGTTGTTCCCTGTGGATGTTTTTTGTCAAATCAATCAATTTCATTATTAATGTAAAATATTGGAGTTATGAAATAAAACTTCATTCGATGGACTTGGTGATGCCTTCCATCATCTGAGAAAATTGATGAAAAAAATCTCCAAAAGTTTCATCAGTAAACTGTCTTTCTTTTTGAGTTTTTTTTTTCTTTTTTTTTTCTTTTTTTTTTGTTCAGACTTCTGGGGCAGTTGTATGGAGTGTGGACAAAGTTATAGTCCACTCTCTAGGTTTTCTATGGATGTACTGTATCTGCAGGATGTGAATTAATCTGCTGGATAGCATTACCCTGTCAATCATAATGGATTACACAGAAACAATCGCCCTGACTTGGCAATGCATGCTGTGCCAAAATATATAGCCCTAACAAGGAATTAATCTGATTTAAGTGAACCATCATGTCAGTTCGATTATTTGATGTTCGACTTTGGTTTCTTTCTAGCAGTTATTGTTGATACTTGTCCAACCTTTAAAGCAATCATTTACCTAAACTATATGATTGTGAAGGCAGAGGTGAACCCATCCATGTCTTTAAACATCACATTAACATCACATCAATGGAGTGATCTAAAAGAACACACACCACCACTATATTTGCAGACTAAGAGTCTATAATGGCTGTCAGTGCTTTGATAGCTTTAAGGACGATTTAGACGGCACAACTTTTGCCTACAACCATTGCATACAACCAGCGTAAGTCATCCTTACTACATGGCTACAACTGCTGTAGGGATTTAAAAACAATTGCTTAATAGCCCTATGACAGTTGTAGCCATGTTGTAAGGATGACTTAAGCACGTTGCATGCGATGGTTGTAGGCAAAAGTTGTGCCGTCTAAATCGGCCTTTAGGTGTCTCAGGGAGGGCCAGCGGTGTTTTTATGTAGGGGGTACAATTTTAAAAATATCTATTTCAGAGGGGATATATTTTTTCAAAGGATGTCTAAGGGGGTGGATATGAATTCTACTTCTCCCACAAGATCACCATACGACCTTTTGATTGAGCTCATCCCAAGGGGGGGGGGGGGGGGGGGGGGGGGGGGGGGGGGGATTTAGGTATCATACCTTTTCTGCTCTCTTCACTTATTTCTCAAACCCCCGTCCTGCATGATTATTATTGCCTTCTAATAAATATTTTAGTAAAAAGCCTGCCACATAATGAATTTTATGCAAATGAGAAAAGAATCAGAAGTAGGGAAAWTTTTTTTAAAGTAATGAGATGAAGCTTCTCAGGTGCTGAGAAAAATGAGAAGAACACAATGCTCAATTGTAATCTATTCATATTTGGCACTTTGATTAAACGTTTTGTTTCCATCTTGCTTAAGTAAGGTGCTGGGCTACCCGTGGCCGAAATCGACGTTTGTCGAAGGCGCTGGCCAATAAAAACGGAGGCTCGAGGTACGGACAGGATTACGTGATTGAAACAGAAAAAGGCCCTAGTTAAAAAAAAACCATTTGGTTCAATCCTTTCTCCAAGTCAAGGTGAAGATGAATTGTTAAGGTTTGTTATGTTGAACGCTTTAAGTATGCTTAAATTTTAGCTTTAGGAATTCAAACTCCATATTTAAAGCTTGTATAAGGTATTTTAAAAGTTCTTAAGTCTTAGTAAGCTTATACAAGCGTTTATAGAGTGTAATACGGCTAAAATATAAAATATTTTTTCGCACATTTCAATAGAGATTAGTTTACTCAACAATTTTTCTAATATTTTTTCATATTTTCTTTGGGGAACATCGTTAATAAGCTTAATTAATGCATGTACTAGACGTGACATTGTATTTCACATCTCAAGCGCGCCATTTTGAACACAGGTATCCCATGCTAAGTGTTTGTATATTTTTCGAATAGAAATACTCCGATTTCGAGTTCTGATTTGCTCTGTGTTAGCCTCAAAATCAAGTAACATATTCTTTTGTTGTATTGATAGCTCGAGAAAACGCATGGAATTTGAAAAGAAAGACAATAGAATTGATTTGAAATCTCACACTTTCATTCTCACAACTAGGAATATTTTGCGCACAAATGAGGCTAAMACAGAGCATTGGAGAATTCGAAACTGGATTATTGAGTGATTCATGACTGATCTTCACAATCATCCTAAAGACCACACAAATTAGCTGCAATGCTGATTGACTCGAGTGTAAATTTTGTTGATACCATTGAGATACAGTAAACAMCTGAAAATAAGAACCTTATTTTTTGAAAGTCTGGCAAAAAAGGTTCTTGTTTTAATGGGTAGTTGTTGGTAATTTTGGCAAAACAGGTGTTTCACGAGTTCAATGACTGTAAGCCATCTTTGTTTGAACTGAGTCTCTTGTAGATTACATGTGCTTATGATATATAACATGATTGACAGATATTAGTACGTAAGCATACCGGAAGTGGTACAAGGGAAGTACACATATTGTAACATCTCCCTTTCTTTAAAAACAAATTATAAACTGTTAAAAACTGTAACAATAATAATACTTTGAAATGACTTGACTTGTTATTACAAAACAATCAAATTAAATCTGTTAAGATAAAAGTCTCTTAACTAGGCAATCACCAAGTTCAATCGTAATGTGTTTTTTTTATTTTTTAACATAGTCCTGAAATCTTGCTGGTGGTTTGATGGTTCTTGAGCTAGTTCTTCACCAGCTGTGGTGGTGACGGTGGTATAGCTTGTGAAGCTTGAGTCTCTGTGATGACAGGTTTCTCCTCTGGTACTTTTGCTGAAGATGGTTTGTTACTTTCAGTGTCAGTGTGTCTGCTAGGCCTTAAATCTTCTCTGTTGCATCGGAGCGTTTCTCCATCCGCCTGCACCAGATATGACCTGTCTGATAGCTTGTCCAGACACTTTCCTAGTTTCCAGGTTTTGTTTTTCTTGTCTGTGACTCTCACGTCTTGTCCTTAATCAAGCTCTGGTAGTGGCTTGGCATTCTTGTCAAAATAGCTCTTTGCCTTTTGCTTTCTTGGCTTTCTTGAAGAGGTTTTTTACTATTTTCACAGCCGACTCATGCTTGAACTCCCATTCCTGAGCAAATTCTGCAAATTCTCTGCTGGTGTACTGAGGACCATTATCTGTTACTAAGACATCTGGTATCCCATGTCTGCTAAATTGTTCCTTGTAGAACTTTATAAGTGAAGCTGATGTTGTTGAATGTAGTTGTTTAACTTCAATGAAGTCTGAGTAGTTGTCAACAAGGACCACATACTCACTGTTGTTCAGAGTAAACAAGTCAGTGGAGAGGCGACTCTAGGGGTGGACAGGGATCTGGTGTGTTTGCATTGGCTGTTTCTGCTGTTTGGCTTGATACTCGGCACAGATAGAACAGTTRGTTATGGCCTCTTTGATTTCACTATTCATTGAAGGCCAGAAGACCAGATCTCTTGCCTTTCTAAGACATGATTCAATGCCAAGGTGACTTGAGTGTATACGTGAAGATGCTTCCGTGTGTAGAGCTTTAGGTATAATCAGTCGTTGGCTCTTGAATAGTACTCCATTGTGTAATTTAAACTCGTCTCTGAAGTTCCAGAACTCTCTGATGGATATAGGCGTTTCCTCACGTAGTGATGGCCATCCTGTAAGTATTGTTGTCTTAATGGTTTGCATTACAGGGTCCTGTTCTGTTGCTTTCTGGAGTTGAGACAATCTTTCGCTGCTTATCTTGATAGTGGTGAGTGGACGAATGGCCTTAAGTTCAAGTGCAAACACTTGGAACTCAGTCTCTGGTGTGCCGGTGTCTGGCACTGAGGCTCTAGATAGGTTGTCGGCAACGTACATCTGGGGATCAGGTTTGTAAGTCACCACCAAGTTGTACCGTTGAAGTCTTAACATCATTCTCTGTAATCTGCATGGTGCTTCTAACAGCGACTTCTTGAATATGGACTGAAGTGGTTTGTGGTCTGACTCTACTTGCGATTTCACTCGATCTGCAAATGTTTAGGGCTTTGTCTAGTGTAAGTTTATCTTCTTTGAGAAGACGTAGCTTCGTTGATTGGTCGTTTATTCCAAGCACTAGTTTGTCACGTATCAGTTCCTCGGTCAGAGTTCCAAATTCGCACGATGAAGCAAGTTTTCTGATTCTGTTTACGAATTCATCAGTGCTCGTAAACAACRTTGCATTTGGGCTTGAAATGAGCTTCTAACGCTTTGATGCATGAATCGACATCCTTTCTTTGGTCATCAGTCAGTTTTAAATTCAGAAACAGTTGTAAACAGTCTTTTCCCATTACTGATCTTAGCGYCGCCAGCCTTATTTTCTGATCTTGTCGATCTAGTCCTGTATTCTTTATATAAAGAATACTAATAAGGGTGACCTTTATCAGATTTAAAAGGTCTCAGGTTGTATACTTGACCATTGACCAATGCAGGATGTCAACCGATTTCAGTAAACAGCCAACAGCGGTTCTATTTTACTTTATGCGTATTCAATGTGGGATGAAAATAGTGCTTTGTAMAGTGATTCGCGCATGATCAGTTTGCCCCATTTATCTTGAAATTTGTTTTTACGGCAATTTCTCCWATAATTTAATGGATTTGAGGTTCAAACTAGTGTTGGAGTTTTTGAAGCCGTTTAAAATACTCGAGATCGTGTTTTAAACTATACCTCAACAACTGTAAATAAATTCAGTAATCTTCAGCAATCCTCAAATTGATTATGGTTTGTTTATCCTGTAATTTAGCTCTAGCCTACATTTATAAGAACCTGCTTGATAATATTTTGCTAAAGAGGTTCTTATTTAAGGGGTTATTAAAATGGTAACAGGTTCTTAATCYGTTAGGTTCTTATTTTTGGCTGTTTACTGTATAAGAATGGGGGCTATTGACAAAAAATTATGAAAAATGTCAATAGCCCCTGGGTATGCCTGCATTAACCTGTTGGGGCAAGACATTGATAGGTGCATAAACCTTCACTACAGTTTGCAAATCCCCAAGTTAAAAAATATTTTTTCTTTTTTGAAAAGAACCAGGCATCATATTATATACCATATTTAAATACAATATGTCTGTGAGGTAAATCAATCAAATTAATCCTTTTCATTCCCTGTGGGACATAGGCCGTTTCTGTGAGGTCAGCTCACCAAAAAGTGTCATAGATTACAAATTAATAATTATTAATAGCTGAAGTCATGATTTTGGATTTGAAAAGTTAACATGTGAAAAGTTTGTAGTAAAAATAGATTTGCCATGTCCAAAATAGCTGATTTTCGAATTTTAATAAAACTGTATGTCCTTTAGCAAGAAAGTATCAAGAAGTGTTAAATGTTCCAAGGCTGTTTACCAATTATCTCGAAATCAATATCAACATCATTGAACCCTACCGTAAATTCTGTAATTTATATACTACAGCCTGACATGCAATCAWTTTTATTCAATTTATTACATTTGATTCGGTCATTAACCATGACTACACTCATTTTTTTTAATTGTTTTCCCATAGAATTTAAAGGATTGTCAAGACAGTTAGGACAAATTAGTCTACCTAATATATTCATATTATGGATGAAAGAATTAACATTGAAGCTCCAAGATGGGACCAGTCAACATTTAGTGGTCGTTTCTATCATTTCTTTGCAATAACTAATTGGGTTAAAAGTTTTAAAACAAATCATCAACTTGATGAAGCAAAGAGGATTGTTGAAGACTACAAGTGAGTTGACTAAAATCCTGTTTTATTGTTAATTATACCATGACTGGATGTTGAGGGAAACTAAATTTGTGGAAGACATTTTCACAAGATATCCAGTGGAAAGTATTGTCTGTGGGCCAGAAACCAAAASCCTCTCTTCCTTTTGGGTATTTTGGAAAAAAAATTAGTTTGAGTATGTAAACAAATCAGCTTGTTTGCACTCATAAGGCTTTGGGGATCAGTCTTTTGGCTGTAAGGTACCTTCGTCATTTCAAGTTTCATTTCAAGACACAGCGTACAAACACATTAGTTTTTCAAAAATTTATTTAAAAATACAGCATCCAAATATCAATATTTGTTTCAAAGATCAATCATATGAGGAAGTATCCCTATTAACTAGATATATGTTGTAGTTCAGGTTCAATATATTTTTGAACCAGTTTAATCTAATTTGTTCCAGTACAAGACTTCTTGTACTGGTCTTTTTTTTTTTGCTTTGGCATTCTTAAAAGAACTATCACATCTCATTCTCTCCCATTTTCTATCTATCATCTTATTTTCTACCTTCTACTATTTCCTACTTTATCTTAACTTATACCCCACAGAAATATTGATATTTTCTATATTTTTAATTTATGAATAACACTTACCTTAATCAGGGTTTGAACCACTGAACTCTTGCTTCATAGTCCAYAGTACTACCAATTATACCATCAAGRATTTTGTTGGTAGTTATGTTTGCAAATTGTTTTTATCTTAATTTTAATTTATTAAATGAAGAAAAGTTTTATATAATGCTGGCTCAACCCTATTCCCAAACCTAACCCTAACCCTAAACCTAACCCTAACCCTAACCCTARCCCTAACCCTAAATCTAACCCTAAAGTGATTTGTACTGTCCAGATTGAGTTATATTGGACTGGCTCAAAATAAACTGAACCAGTTCAGAAGAAATTGAACTGGATCAAAATCATATTGAACCTGAACTACATATGATAGATCTCACCCTGTATTATACACCTATCTTCATCTTCCATATATTACCTATACTGTATAGCTACAATTAAATTGGTTGTTGACAAACAGGTAACTGACTATTTAAGAACAATCTTGAAAAGACTGCAGACAGTCTATCCCTCCAACCACTCAACAGAGACAGCCTTGTGCATGATACATGATAATGACTTATTATTATGGGCATAAGATTATAATGAGGCCATTTACTTGTCATTAGACTTATATGCTGTCATTGGCACTATAAACCATATTTTACTAAAAAGAGTCTCTGTTTGGAATTTACTGGCAACTGCTTGAAATGTTCAATCCATTTTTGGGCAGTTCCACATGAGTGATGAAAAAAAGATGATTTTTAAATCTTAGCAAACTCAATAGTTTTTTTTGAAATATTACTCTATGATGTTCAGAGTTTATAATTTCAATACCATTTTCCAGACAGGCGATCTGGGGGGTGCAGTAAGACCAAGAGAACATATGAGAAATTGTTGTTTCAATTTGGCCTCAATTAGAGCAAATTGAAATGTGCCAAATAATTATATAGGTTATTAAACCTAAAGTTTCAAGCTTTAATTAAGAACAATAAACACATAATTATGTTGATCTTTCAAAATGCACACTTATGGAAAACTTCAATCTAAACAATTAGCAATTATTTTGGAGGGATWGAAATTCCGTTACAGACGTTACACAGCCACATTGCAAAAACACTCATTTTTTTGTATTTTAATCCAACCAGAAGTCATCTTATGTTGGTATCATCATAGTTAATAGTCTATTAACTATGGTATCATAGATCCTCTTTTAAAAAGATATGGGTAACAGATAGGTGACAAGGAATTGGATGTAGCTCTTTAATAAGTTGCTAAAATTATGTTACAGACGTTACAAATTTTGTGTTACAGACGTTACATATCTTGCGTTACAGACATCACAAAATCATAGAAAGAGAAAAATACACTCTGTGGATATGTGAACTCTTCATTCCTATTTCAATGCAGTAGTAGTAGTAGTAGCAACTTTATTTAGAGAGGGTAGCACTAAATAGTGGAAACCAGTTATAGACTTGTGCCCCTCAATTATATACAATCAAATATACAATATAAACAAACTATGTAAGATTAAAATATATAAAAAAATATATAATATAACAACTGCGCTAATTATCTAAAAAACTAATGTTATATATACATGCGAATTAAAAATAAAATAGAAAAAAAAAAAAGAAAACATCTTGCCTAAATCACTGTGTGTGCGCTTTTTATGTTGTCTTTGCCAGTTTCCTCTCGAGCACTTTACCGTTAGCTATATTATGTGTACTAACAACCTTGAAAATGGTTGCTAAGGCCGAAAGCTTGGTTTGAAGAATAAAAAACCTTAAATACGCAGAAGAAGCAGTCTTCATTTATAAACTTTGATTTGCATAAATTATTTCCGACATTGTTTGACACACTTGGCATGTTTGACAAATGAAAGTCTCAACAATGAATACTTTAAAAATGGTATCAAATAAAAAATCACCAGATTTTACATTATTTTTGCAATGTTTGATGTATTTAGTGTTGAGACTTAAAACTTTGCTATTTTTCCTATATTTTTCCATTTCTGGACAACATTTTAATATGATATCTGATTGAATTAAAGTTAGGATGGCCGTATTTTATTGAATATCATTAATTCCAGACAAGGTAAAGATGGCCATGGCTTGAGTATAGATGAATTATGGGATGCCAAACACCTTGTTGAYTCTGCCTTCCATCCAGATACTGGTGAGAGAATGAATTTGATTGGACGCATGACATTTCAAGTCCCTGGTGGAATGGCTATAACTGGTGCCATGTTACAGTGGTATAGGTAAGTTACCACTTTATTACTGATTTGATGATCATACAGTTAATCCCAATAATGAAAGCCATGACCAAAGGCTCTCAAGTCTTCACCCTTATTCCAGTCGTGGATGACATTAAAACCTGAATGCATCCGAGTTGTATAACAGCAGCAAACACAGAAAAAAATTCAAGAGCAGTTCAAGACTTGGGCAAGACTATACGAGAGCTTCAATTCAAGGGTTCTAGGCTAAAGGAGACATGTTAAATGGAACTTGCTCTAGACTTCACACTACTGAGGAACACTGATAACATGTTCGAGAGAATAATAATGTGCACTTAATCTTTTAAAATTTGGTACRAATTTTGCATTTTTGATGTTCTCAAGTCCAGTYAGATAGTGGGTTTGACAGCTCAAGGCAACATTATCAGCTCTKTGCTTGTTTGTAGGATAATGTCATACTTTTGTGATCTCATTATTATTCTGTATGCAAGTGCTTTCTTGATCATTTTTTCCTAATCATGTGTCTTGTCTATATCCTTGATGGAAACTTTTTTGATTATTTGTTCATGTTGAATATGAACAACAAGAACATTCCTATGTGACGCTAGCTGTCCGTCCTGGCAGTCACAATTGTACTTTGAGTGCATTTCTTTTCTGCTTTATCTGTCTGCCACCATGTAAAGATTCTTGTAAGAGAAATGTTTTACTTTATTAATATGTCGATTAGAAATTCTGCTGTGTTGCATATAATGTAGGGATAATTTAGGAAAGACAACATACACAACCTGGTGCATAGGCCGCCCAACTATTGCTTGAGAGAAAGAAAAGAAGTAAAATGTCACAGACAAGGTTTTGATCCTGCGAGGCAAGGGATCATTGACGTAATACCACAGGAAACCTGCATTTTCTTAAGAGCGCGCGCCGGTGCTAAAACATAAAAAAAGCTTGCACTTTTGTTCTTTTCTTTCTTTCAAGCAATAGTTGGTTGGCCTATGCCTGGTGGTGGATCAAAGGGAGGGGCCTGGGCGAGCCAGTGCACCCCTTTTTGGGAAAAATTAAATTCTCGTACATGTTTTTTTAACAAATAAATCTTCTAAAATGAAAAAAAATATGGTAGGCACTTATGAAAGTGGTCTATGCTATTGTTCTTTTCGAGGTACTGAAGACTGGTGCAGGTCAAGTTCAAGACATGAAACTCTGCTTATAGATGAGACAGTTTAGTATTGAAGCTTAATGTTGTAGRAGAAACTGATCAAGTGAGAATAGCATATATCAAATTATATGGCCAAGACTTGGGAAGAACCTCATATGGTTAGGCTATTTATCCAGCTTGGAAAGTGAAAGACTTACAATTGTGTTGTCGGCTCTGTGACGTCAAGTGCTGTTGTGGCATATATAAGTCTCTGAAGGATTAAAACTGCTCGCTCATTCATCTTCATGATGTCAAATGGATTTTCACTTAGAGAGTCCAATCCTGTACAATATCGAATTTTGATGAACATAGAAGTATGGATTTTGGCATAGACATTTACATCATTCTTTCTTAATTTTCACCTTTTTCAGGACAGTACCTGCAGTGATATTTTGGCAGTGGATCAACCAGTCATTCAATGCTCTTGTCAATTATACAAACAGAAATGCCAAGTCTGAAGTCACTGGAAAGTAAGTAGTGGGAAATGTGCCTCATTGAAGTCATGCAAACTAAGGGATTAAACATTGATCTACCAATTATCATTAAGCTTATCACCATGATTACAGATCACAATATCCTCTGGGTTTTTCCAGGAGCCAAGTAATATTGTGTTGTATTTTCATTATCAAACAGCTATAAAGCTTGTAAGGCTTATATAATTTTAATAGATTCTTCAAAACTTCAGATCTCATTYCGTTTAGCTGTTCTGTTATTTGTGTAAATGATAAAACATTCCAATAATAATACATCAAGTGATGATGAAAATAATCTCTAGAATTTTAAAATATATAGTACACAATGATAGAAACCAGATTGTCATAACTGTGATCATTCATTGATCATTCTAATTTTATATTTTTTAGTAGATACAAACAACTTTATATATATATATGTGGCTTGCTAATTCAGATTCTCATGTCTACAGGCAAATAGGAGTGGCATATGTATCAGCAACCACCAGTGCTGTAGCTGTGGCTGTTGGATTAAATAGTCTCATCAAGGTTGAATTGTGTGTGTTTTCTGCTAAAATAATATTGTKCTTATGAGTTTATGGTTTATTTCAGACAGCACCACCAATAATAGCTCGTTATGTTCCCTTTACAGCTGTGGCAGCTGCAAATTGTGTCAACATTCCTTTAATGAGACAAAGGTACAAACATCCATAATTATCACTCAAACACATGGAAAATGGTTGTGTGTAAATCACTTTTGTTTTGAGTTACTARCCAGAAAATTTTATGAAAGCAAAAATAATTAATACCTTACTATTTTTCTTTAGGGCTAATAGCATTTGCTTACAAAAAATACTTAATGATCAATTTGACTTACCTTGAGGTTGGATTGTAGTTCCATGTAATCATTTGTAGYATGTGAACATAAGTATTTGAAAGCATTGTACGTGAGCAATAAGATAATCGCTGAAAAATATCCAATGGGAGCTCATGCAAAATAATTTATGGGGTTGGGGAGTTGAGCTACTATAGAAGTGCCGTCACGCTGTTGACGGTATTGGTATTGCAAGACTTGTAATAAGTCGAATCTTTACTTACGGATGCTCCCGTAAGCGTACAGTTGTACTTACGGACAGAAACCCTGTTTTTCCTCCCAAAGAAACACTGTATTTATACTTTCTATTAAGCGAACTTTCTTGTAAGCAGGCGTGGACACTTTCAGCGATTCCCAAGTTTCGAATTCTCCAATGCTCTGTGTTAGCCTCATTTGTGCGCAAAATACTACTAATTGTGACAATAAAAGTGTGAGATTGCAAATCAATTCTAATGTCTTTCTTTTTTCAAATTCCACAATGCATTTTCTTGGGCTATCAATAAAACAACAGAATATGTTGCTTGGTTTCGAGGCTAACACAGAGCAAAYCAGAACTCAAAATTGGACTCTTTTCTATTGTTTTCAATCTCCCGTAAGCGGACACTTAAATTCAATAACTTATATTTGATCTATTTTACGATTGATAATAAATTGTCAGTTTAACAAGCTTATGAGAGACGTAATGGCCCAGTGGTTTGGGCATTGGACTTCGGGTCGACAGGCCTGGGTTCAAAAACCAGACGGGATGATCACGTTGTGTTMTTGGACAAGACACTTTACTCTCTCAGTGCCTCGTCTTSTCTGAGAAGGACGTAAAGTCGGAAGTCCCATCTCTCTACGATTCTCAAACTCATTAATTATAATTCATTACTTGCCTGTGTCCAATCATTTGATCTCTTTAGGGTCACGTGTATGCATTTGGATACCTTTACTTGTTCCAACACTGCATGCAAATGAGATCCATCTCCTATGATTTGGATATCCAAGTCCTAGGAGTTTCCTCAGATATCCAAATCCTAAAGCTGCATATTTATTTTTATACAAAATATTACCTTCATCTGATATTTATTCTAGCTTTTATACTATTTTCTGTATTTCTTCTTACTTTCTTTTTTCTTTCTCCCTAATCTAATCTAYCTGATGACTTAACATAATATTACATTTCTTTCTATTTTATTTTTACTTTCTAACTTATGTTGCCGTGCCAGTGACTCGAACCTTTGATCTGTCGCATWAAATCCCTTAGACCTACCAACTAAGCTATTTGTGAATTGGTTGGATATTATGATTTGATTCTAATGATCATTCATAAATCATTCATTTAGTTTCAAATAATGCATGCTTATCAGCATTTGCGTTAGTAACAAACATTCATGCATAAATGGACAGTCAACTAACAACAAATACTATATAGAAAGCTACTTTTTTTTATTGAACAACTTCTCATTTTTTTTATTATACTTTAATTATTGTTATGTAATAGAATACTTATCACAATTGGTGAAGGTACTTCCTTCCAAATCAACATAGTTCAGCTGAAGCCATAAAAACGAAAATTTCACAATGAATTGAATTAAATAATGCAAATTCCCTTCTTTTCTAAATATACTTCTTATTGCTAATGAGTCATTCATTATTAATTTGTTGCGGCCTCGTGTTTCATCAGTTCCTCGGTATTTGGATCCCCTGATGAAACACTCGCACTTGTCTTTGATCTATTACTTCTCATTAGCAGCAGAGGGACGTTAAAGAAACCAAACCACTATTCGACTAAGAGTAGGGCACGGAGTTCCCGGTGGTGTGGCCAGGGCTCATCTCACCAGCATTGAGGTTGGSTTGGCAGATTGTTCATATAAAGGTTAATTAGGAATCATGCTCTTTTGACAATTAAACAAGAATATTTTCACTTTTCAAGATGCCTTTCTATTATACAGGCATTTCTACTTGCGGACACTTATTTCGTTTCCTGTGGTGTTCTCTTCTTTATTGGTTAAAGTATTAAACATAACCTTATAGTTCGCAAGTTGCCTCATGTCGTCTTGTCGTCCTTTTCTTGTGCCCTCGTGGCCCAAACATCCCATAGTACACATTTCCCAAGGGTGTCCSCTTACGGGAGATTCGACTGTATCACAGGTGTGAAAATGGTATTTATTTCATAGTATTCTGACTAATGTTTCTHGCTTATTCAGCCAATGTCAACAAATAACTTTGAAGTTTTAATTTTTATTGTTTTTTTTAAGCTTTTAGCTGTCTCTTTTGCTTGCTTACAGATTTCTCTTAACATATAATTACCATATTTTATACACTGAAAATAAAAGTTTAATTATTTTTCTCTTCTGCAATAACTTTTTTTTCAGGTTCCCTAGGACCTATTAGGGATTTTAAGCACTTGTCACAGTTAGTCATTCCTTTAATCTTGTGATTGTAGGGAGTTATTGCATGGCATCATAGTGTATGATCAACAAGGCAATGCTATTGGACCATCAAAGTATGCTGCAAAAAAAGGAATAGCACAGGTTGTTTTCTCAAGGATCACTATGGCAGCACCTGGAATGTGTAAGTCTTTTACCATTTGAATGCAATACCAATAATATTGTATAAAAGTTCATTAATATGTCGTTTGATCATGCAATCATCTGCCCAATAGCACCTCCAAAACCCATTTAACAGTCGTTTGAATGAATTGTTTGTAGCAAAGTAAACATTGTCATGAAAGCCTATAATTAAAACTTCACCTGAAACTAAAAACCGATAAGTCTTCTTTCAAATTGCACTTTAGTTCAAATAAGAAATAAATAGCAAATTATATTTAATGTATAATTTTCACAACAAATTGCAGTCACAAAAACTTTTCTAACATTCCAGAAATATTTTAGGTATTTTTCCAAACGACTGTAAGTAGATGGAAACGTTAGGGAAACTACTTTAATTATTTAGCTACACTGCTGATTTTCTGGGCGAGTAAGTACAAACAAACAAACAAACAAAAAATAGAAATAAATAAAAAAAGAAACCATCAATGCCTAATTTCTATATATTTACCATTGTTTTCAGTGATTCTTCCAATTATTATGGAAAAGCTTGAAAAGTATGCCTTTATGCAGGTAAAATCAACCAACATTGTTAATATTCGTTAATATATTGATATTATACATGTATATGTTGATGGTTTGATAGTACGTGTCGTGATGGTGCCTTAGCCTATTGAGGCTAAATGCGATAATTGTGCAAAAATTGTGCTGTGCACTTCAGTCTTTATATATTATTGTTCTATGACACATAAATAAAGTTGCCTGTTATTTTTGTGATCATTTGAAAGTAGAAAATTATCTGTTGTACTCATTGAGGTCAGTACAGTCTGCATGCAGCCGAACCAAAACTGTTAACAGATTTGGTTYGACTGCATGCAGGCTAACAGAGTTACTAATCCAGGTTATTATTTTTATCAGAGAATCCGTTTTCTTCACGGACCAATTCAAATGCTGCTGTGTGGTGTTAGTTTAACTTTCATGGTCCCTGCGGCATGTTCAATATTTCCTCAAAAATGGTAAGTTGTATAAAAATAACATCAATGCCAATTGTACGACCGAAAGGAGTCTGTATTTTTGCTCGGTATTTCCTATTGACATGTATTGCCCTAAGTATTCCAATATGGCTATATGTTGAAGTTTCAGAACAGTTTGTTTTGTTGGTCACCGCAATTAAAAGCTATCAATTTAGACACTCGTCCATCTTCAACAGGGATTACAAATTTATTAAAAAAGTTATTAAACCCAGTTCTTTACTTTCAGCTCAATCAAAGTCGAACATTTAGAACAAGAATTGCAAGATAAAATCAAGAAAATGGGTGGACCAGCAATTGATAAAGTTTACTTCAATAAAGGATTATAATGACAGTAAAATCAGTGCTGTAACGCTTCCCTATAGGCTGCAGCCAATGTTSGTCAATTTCACTCGGGCTGCAGCATAGAGCAGTCACGTACGTGATAAATGACGTCACATTCCATGATTTGATATGTGACACATCGACAATGTTGGCTATAGTTTTTTTTTATTTTCATTGTACCAAAAAAAGTTGCATCCAATTTCCCATTACTCACGTGATATGTACATTCCGTAAATAAACAGATCAGTATTCTTGCACCTCAAAATAGTCGTTCAATCTTCTGTTTAGGTCTATTTGAAAACACAAAAACGTATTAGATATGATATCACCATGCTTTTATTATCMATGATATCACTTAGCGGCATAGTCTGGATACCAGGTATTAATTACATGACCTTTTAGGTMAAAATTTAGATTTCTRTCGTTTTGAAGTCGTTGCAGAGAGCAGTCAAAAAGAACATCGTATCGTGTGAATAAACGGTCACGCATTCTTGCTTYCACTATGTATTAGAAGTAAAAAATATAATATTCTACGCCATGATATACATTCAAAAATAGCTAGTCCGACTTCACGCTCCAAGAGCGTCTAGTTAACTTATAAATTTTATCATGCCAGATGTAAACATAGAGCGAACTTAATCTATTTAACTAGACGCCCCTKGGGCGTGAAGTCGGACTAGCTATAATCATATGATTATATTATGAATGCAAATGAAACTTGAGAAAAACAGGAGGATATTACATAAAATATAAAAATTAGATTAAAATATATATTTTYTCTATAAGAAGGCAGCCTCTACTGAAAGTCATCCGCTCTACAGTTTAATACCTAAGCCTAAATCAACTAGATATAACTTAAGATACTCTGCAGCAGCTAAACCTAAAATATATACTTCTCGATTTATGAACACTTTTTTCAACAGATTACTATTTAAATATGATGTCAGTAAGTTGTAACTTTCACTTTTTTCTAACTTAAGAATATAATTTAAGAAGTGTACGTTCTTCATCATCATATTATTTCTTAATTTTTCTCCAAAATAGCCGAACTCACGTCCTAATAAGAGCGTCTAGTTCAAAATATYCAAACTCTCTYGAGACTAAAATAAACTTGACCTAAAAGGTCATGTAATTAATATAGCAATGAACGTTTTAAAAGAGTCCTTGCTTTCACTGATAAAATCAAACATGCGTCAAACTTAGCGTCACTTGCCAAGTGACACTATGTAGACAGTGTCTACATAGTGTCACTTGGCAAGTGACGCTAAGTGATAACGTTGACCTCTCAGGCCAAGAAAATACTTAAYAAAGTAAATGATACCTATAAAATCATTAAACTCGCCTTTTTTTATTGATAAAAAATGTTTCTTCTTGTTCTAATTTGAAATCTTTGCCCACACAACACTGCCTAACGCTAAAAAGGCCATTGATTTAGTTTCGAAAGCATACTACTCGAAGCACCAAGCGATCTGCACATGCGCGTACTTATGATACCTAGACTGATGCATTCCGATGAGATCACAGATACCACATTTGTAAACGAATAGTTTTTTTGTCATATAAAACCGCGAGTAACATGTAACATTTACTAACGATATTCGTACATCAATACGTTTGAGCTTCCGGTCATGTAATAACACAGCCAACCCAATAGTTAATTTATTAAATTCTTAACTTCCGGTGGTCCAAACGCGACATAATACATAGATAGATAGATAGATTGATAGATTGATTGATAGGCTAAAAGGTAAATTTAAAGTCGGACCGCCTTCGGCTAGTCCGACTAATAAATTGGAATATCACGTCTTTTTTAAATCYACTAACAGAAATGGCTTTCTCTTTATCTTCACAATGCAAGTTAATTTTTATTTGCTAAATTCTTAGTCCGTCCTTTCAATGTTAGTGCATAACCCACTAGTCCGACTAAAAAGCGTGCGGATTCTTCGTTCTTTTCCTTCTCTGAAACAATAGTTGGGCGGCCTATGGCTTAGGAACACGAGTGTTTCTCTTGCTTCTCGAGTGTTTTTCAACTCACACCGTGTTTATATCAGAGGACAGAGGCACAAGCGGCCGTTTTATATTTCTTTTATAACATTTTTYGAGCGAAAAGAAAATTTTGCCGGTAAGCCGTGTCTCTGTCCTCTGATATAAACACGGTCGTCAGCCAATCAGAGCGCGCGTTATATATCAAAAATTTTATAATRTAATATAYTAATGGGGTTATGTGCTGTTACTCCGAGTTTCGTGCGTACGTTGTAAGGCTAACTAGACGCTCTCATAGAGCGTGAAGTCGGGTTAGCAATATTGGAAAATTGAGAAAGGCAGGATATCACTCCTGGCTCAATATTTCTAGTGTTTTGACGTCGTTGCTCTAAGCCTTCCAAAAAGCGATGCATGAATAAACAATTGGAATTGAACTGCACTTAAATTAAATAATAAAAAAAGCAGYGAAAGGTATTCTACGGCATAATTTACTTTCATAAAAAATTATATGATTGGCAGAATATGGTGCTTGCGGATAATAAAATAAAAAAATTAGTTCTCTCAATTCATTGCTCTGTTGTCACATGTTTTGTCTATGACTATCATGATGATATCAAGAAAAAATTGTCAACCTATACTGTATCAAGAAAAAATTGTCAACCTATACTGAGACAATTTATGATAATATAATTTTTTATCTATTTGAGGTTACTTTAAGTTAACTATATACTTTGGAGACTGATCATATCACCAGTAAAATATCATTATGTTAGCTGTCAACAAATCTAGGGATTTTTGCAACTAAAGTAAATTAAGTTTATCTTATGTACAAACAATATATACACCTACTTGCGAAAACGTTGTSGTAAAAAATAGGACATTTGYATTTAGTAAAAAAGAAATAAATCAAAAAAGACAAAAGAAGATCACTGAGGCTGAACRCTTTCTTTTGTCTTGTTTTAATTTATTCCTTTTTACTAAAATCGAATGTTCTATTTTCTATGACAACGTTTCTGCAAGTAGGTGTATATCTATAAAAGGAAAGTTTAAAATAAGAAATGCACAAATATAATTGACTTACTATAGACCCAAGTTAAGAGCCAACACTTTTAATACAGGAAGTCCAATGTAATAATGAATATGTAACAATTTATATTTTTAGTTCTATTTGTAAAAGAATTATGAATAAACTAAAATGTCAGTCAAATTGAGCAGCATCAAGTAGATCCTTAAACTTTTCAGCTATGTAACCTGCACTAGGTCGAGGGATATTTAAGGGGTCAGTTAACATCTCTATTATTTTATTCACTTCAATATCTTGGTTTTCAAACCTATCACATATCTTCTTAATCACTTTTCCCAGAGCTATCAATTCCAYGTCTTGAACATTAGGACTGTCTTCAATTTGAAGGCTGTTTCCTAGTCCTACAAACTTTGGATATAGTTCACCCTTGAATTTGTTCACTAGTATATGGTCTGTATTTAGAGCACCATGAACAAAGCCTTTCTTATGTATGTGATCCACACTGTTAGCCAGTTTAATAACAAATGGTATCCAGAGATGAGAAGGTATCTTGTCTGGTACAGTATTAAAAAGAATAGCTAAACTTTTACTCAATGGTGAGTTATAGAAGCCATATAGCTTATAAACTATGCTGTAAGGCTCATTTTCGAAACAAACACCAAGAAGTACTGGAAGGCACTCATGAGGCCCTAACACAAGTAGAGCATTTAGCTCCTTCTTTATTGTTTGCAAGGTTGTACCCTCTTTGAATTCCTTGACTGCAACAAGAATCTTCTCATAAGTGGCAAAACACACTCTACTTGAATCACCTTGAATACTATGATGAACATCTAAGTAGCATAGCAGACTTTTCTTCAGTTGACAAAACTCTAATGAAGAAATATTGGTCCTTTTTCCTTTTTCATCAATATCTAAAACAACACACAAGACAGAATAACTTGTAAATGTATAAAAGCATAAAAGCTAAGGTTGGTTTAATAACTCATTGCAAGAGTCAATATAGAATCAGATTTGACTCTGAGTCATCTCCAAGTCATCTCCAAGTCAGTTACAGTCAACTCTCTCATAAGCRACCACCTCAGGGTCAGGAAAAAGTGGTCATTTGCGAGAGATGGTCGCTTACGAGAAAGTTTTTTTTTACAGAGTTTATATGGGAAACTGAACATAACAGTAAATTTAAAACGTGGTCGCTAATGGGAGATGGTCGCTTACTAAGGCCCATCATGTGACCCAATAGCTCGGTGCTCATTGGACTAATAGCTCATGAAATATTAATGAGTTTTAGAAATGTCAAACCAAAACCAAACATTGGAAATTCAAAAACACATAATGTAAGCCACATTCTACTGTTCTTAACCGATCTAATGTATTTAACCTTAACACACAAAATCAACCCTGAAAATAGAAAGCTATATTATATGTTTAATTAAGAACATTCCATACATCAGTTTAGTATTCATACTCGTGACATTAAAAACAATAGCAACCTTATGTATGGTGCCTGGTATAGCTGTCTTTTGAATAATTATGACATAATTATTATACTGGACATGAGCTGGTTAACTTATTAATTGATACCTTTTATATGTTGCTTCCATACCAAGTGCTTGTAATAATAGGTGCTGTTGCTCCTATTTCTAAGTACAGAAGGGAAAGACTTCCTGATAGCCCTTCCAATGGCGCGATCTGTGCATTCTTTGAAAACAAGTCGGGCAGTCCCTAGCACCACTGAACACTCTATGCGACCGTCATTAAGACACTGTAAAATTTTCTTGAAGCCTGCAATCGAAATATAAATTGATATGCGTCATTTAGATGCGATAAATAACAGATATATAAACCCACGTAACGTAACAATAAAGAAAACGCTTACCATGTAACAATGTTATCATTCAATTGATTTCCAACTTTCTTTTTATCACGAGTAACACTGCCAGACATCTTGAATTGTTAAGATTCATTCTACTTCGGTCCAGTCTCTCCGCGTCCTATGTGCCAAGGGAGCCTGACGTCAGGCATCTTCGCCTTCTAGAAAGTCAAGCCGCCAATGGGAGGGTCAATGTGGTTAACCGTGAGCCGTGAAACGGATGAAAAATTAGCCGTGAGGCTTGAAAATGAGAAAAAATTAGCCTTGAGGCGTGAATATTTTTTATAGCGTGAGCCGTGATTCAGTTTTGTTCCTCAGAAGGACAGTCAACTCCAGACGCACGCTTGTAATTTTTTTTTTGTAAATTTAAATTTATTTTCCTTCGCGAATTTTTATTGAGGTAAGGAAATACACTCTGCTCGCAGGGTACATTTGAGAGTGATGATAAAAAATTATAATAACTGAGTGTCTACAACGTACAAGGGGGCACTGTGCTCCCACACTCACTATCTCTAGCCGCAAAACAAATTACATGAAAAAGTAATGAAAAACGTTGTTTTCATTTCAAAAATTTCTGAAAGTAATCTAGTTAACCGTGATTCGAAAAAATTAGTCGTGAGTCGTGAAACAGCCAAATTTTTAGCCGTGAGTCGTGATGCGTACCACCCCAATGAGACCCTCCAATGGCAAAACAACTCAAAGATTGATTGTGTAGACGAAAGCAGAACGATAAGATGAATCAAATTATAATTACTTAAACAAATAGAATTTTAAGTAAACGATTTAATGTAGTTTTTTTACGTTAAAATTTTATTACATTCTCGTACCCAGACCCTACTCTGTCRGCCTGTCGTTCTAGGCTCTGGGACACCCTATAAACCTGAAGCAAGAAATCTTGCTTCCGATTTATGCTCTAAGCTCTCTCTCCGGTTTTTCCGGGTAATCGCTGGTAAAGAATTATATATAATCTAGGTTTCATGTGCCGCTAAAATAACCGTTACAAGTGTTCTKGAAATTTTGAATTTTCTTATACTCAAATATCCTTACTTTGTCGACTCCTGTCTTCATAAAATCATTGAGGATTATGGAAGTTTTTGAGTTTTGATCTTGCTTAAAATACAGGTGAAATAAGTCCGTGAGGTCAAGTGAGTTGACGGCTGTCGTTAATCCCGGCTGATGAGTGCTTCAGCGAGAAATATCATTTACTTGAGACCTATTTTTATCTTGATTCAAGTCATTTTTCGTACCAAAGTTCGATGTCGCAAAGAATGATGACACAGGTTTTTATTTCAACTCGTTAGTCGGTCTAGCCGAAGGCTAGGTCGACTTAAGTTTTACCTTTTAGCCAATCTATCTGTGTATCATGTCGCGTTTTGGGTTGCCTTGTGTTTTCATGACCGGAAGCTCAAACGTATTTGATGTACGAATATCGTACATCAAATATTTTTTTATCTGATAAAAAAACGATTCGTTTACAAATGTGGTATCTGTGATCTCATCGAAAATCGGAATGCATCGGTCTAGGCATCAGAAGTACGAGTAGTATTTTATTTGCTGTTATTCTTTTTGGTGTTACGATATGTTCCGAGCAGTGTCGCGGGGGTGTTAACACGTTCCGGGGTGTTCCGGGGGGTGTTCCGGGGCGTTCCAGGTGTTCCGGTGGTGTTCTGTGTTTTACAGACACCGGCAATCAACGATCGATATCTCGGGAGTTCAATTAAAGCAATTAACATAAACTTCAACAAACAGCCAAATAGGATTTTTTTTAAATTTGATCATCAAAGAGTTTGTAAGCTTAAACGTATCAATGATTGAAAAATAGACGAAACATGTTTCATAGTCTTGGTTTTAGCACAGGGAGACTTTGAGCCTATAATAGTTAAAAATAAAATTTTACTTAAAAAAATAGTCTACTTTTATTTTATTCAATGTCACAATGCATTATAAATGAGTTTTAAAAAAATTCCCAAGGGCAAGGGCGGAAACTCTCGAAATTCTCCTAAAAATGAGCCAAAAACAATCGACAAAAATCCTTTTTTGGCGCCGAAATTAAATCAAAACGAAATTTTGTCTGACAGAGCATATGTAAATCAACGAGTTTTTTACCTTATTTTGAACGAGAGGCATCGATAGAAACGCTTTTTCGAAAAGGTGTCCTCAAAAATAGCCCAAAACCATCCGCATCGAGGTTATCCTGAGGCCACTTCATGCGCGCGCAAAACTGAAAACTAGASAAATTTGGATAACAATACAGAAAGTAAAATTCAGAAATTTCTGAATTTTTTTATATGAATTTTATAGATTACAAATATGAAAATGTAGAAAAAAATCATTTTATCAGTACTAATGCAAAAATTCAGAAATTTTCCACGCACACTTGCTGCTCAGAAAAAGCGAGTCGTCAGGAAAGCCAGGTTAGCGAGTTACGCCTCAACCACAACAGAGAGTGACTTCAAGTGCTACCACTGTGGTCGCTAGTTCCGTGCCCGGATTTGGACTCACCGGCATCTCCGGAAATCATGGTCCTCATCGCTTCGATGGACGAACAACAACAACACGACCTTTGCCCTGGTAACTTCAATGTGTCATTTGACTGGAAACCGTCATCGTTGTGAGTGCTAGCGATAGCGAATGGTCAAACTCGCAGCGAGAGTCGGTTTTTGGCTGCCGTGATCACGTGAGCGTGTGTTCGTGATTGGTTATAGCTAGCGTATATCGGATTGCCTGGTACCATAGGCTACCCATCTATTGCTTGAGAGAAAGAAAAGAAWGAATGCGCACGCTTTTATATTATCGAATCGGCGCGCGCTGTGGGTTACCTGTGGTATTACCTGTGGTATTACGTCACGATCGCGCGCCTCGCGGGATGCAAACCCGTATCCCGCGAGGCGCGCGATCGTGACGTAATACCACAGGTAACCCACAGCTCACGTCGATTCGATAACATAATATAAAAGCGTGCGCATTCATTCTTTTCTTTCTCTCAAGCAATAGTTGGGTAGCCTATGCTGGTACTCCTAATCAGCGAAGACAGCTCGTGGACATGCGTAGTGTCAGCGCTAGCGAATGGCGTTTGTTTGAAGTGACGTTGAGAGAAGCATTGATATTATTGGTTGCGGTGAGATCGCGGTTATCATTCAGTTCGAGTGGCTTTAGCTGCCGCGATATGTGAATAGCGAGTGAACGTGATTAGTTATTGCTAGCGCATATCCCATTTCCCCATTATTATATTGTGCTTTTGTTGATAAACCAACGCCGGGTTTGCAGTGAGACTTCGGCTATAGCATTTCGTTCGAGTTTAACCTTGGTATAGACTAGCGGCAAACTAGTGTGAGCTGCATCGGTGTTTCTAAAGAAACAGTTGTGTAAAAAAGATAATTCAACACCATAAAAATAGGTGAAACAACTTACTGACGTTTCGGGCGTTCTTCTTCGGGGTAAAGAGGAGTTTAACCTTGCCTAAATTTGCATCTAAACACATATAGATAGATTGCCAAAAACGCAAAACTAAAGTCAGGCCCCTCGCCCCTGCGGTTAGCACGACAAATTTTCATTCAACAGTTTTAAGAACAAAAGAAATACGTTAACCGGATATTGAAACAAAGTTACGCTTTAAAAAAAAAAAACCCAACAAAACAAAACAAATGTTGAAAGGGTTGCGAAGCCTCGACCTTGAATATTGGTTATTGCGGATATCACAAAAAACACCCAATAATTATTTGAGTGCAGGGAAGTCTGATACTTTAAACAGTGCTTTCTATCGGCGCTATTTTTATCACTTTGGTCTTGAATTCACCTTAAAACAGCTCGCCGGCACACTAAATCAATGTCAAGRACGTAGTTCCAAAAAACTTACAGCACTGAGCCGATGTGTTCTTTAAAAAACAAACAACGGGAAATAGATTGCTGATTTACAGTTTAATAAAGCATAATGCTATTTATCGCCTCGGCGTTGAGCTAAATTTTTAAGAAATGTAGTCATAATCCAAGAAAAAYYTATAACTCTGGAATCCGGATCCTGGGATTCCAACTCCCGAATCCGGATAACTGTAGAACAACGAGAATAACTGGAATATGAATGACCGGGATAMGGAAGATGTCCCACAGAATGCGGAATCCAGCCTATTTGCAGAAATACCTTACTTGAGGCTATATTTTTAAACACTGAGACAACGTGGTCACAACCCAAATTTGGGTAACCGTTATTCATTCAAATACAAAAAGGAGGAATTTCATTTGACATAAGCCAAAAAAATAAGCATGCTGAAATGGTTATAAATACTAACAACTCATATGATGACAAGCATACAAATAATAACTGTTCCTTTTAGGAACAAGTGACATGCAGCTCCAGTTAAAACATTAAGTGACCAACAATCATGCATCGTCTTTAAAAACTAATGACTTTTTTCTAAATCTAATAAAAATTATTATAACTGTGAAAGTAGAAGAAAAACAACACTTTTATGAGACTCACAAGTGTTTTTTGAAGGGCTGTGCTTTAAAAACCACCTTGTGCGTTAAAATTGATAAGATTTTAAGTTGTTGAAAACTATTATTTATAGGTGCTTAAATCCAGAACATTAAATTCACTTGATTGCAGTGATTGAGTAGAGTTGAGTAGAGTGTTGCAATTTTCTGTAAGTGTCATGCAGTCTGCTGACTCTCTCAGTGATAAATAATGACGATTAATATGTTGAATGTAGTTGGTTTGTCCATCAATTTGTTTTCTTTCTATTATGTGCTTTGGACAACAGCCATCTTTTTCCCAATATACATTCTAAAGTAAAACAAAAATAAATTAAAAAAATATATAAGGGAAGGTACGTTTATTACTGTGGGGGGGGGGGGGGGGGGGGGGGTAGAGGCTGCAGTTTTCAGAGGAATTTGTCCATAAGAATGTGTACCCTCCCCAGTAATTCTAAAACTAAACTTTTGACCCTTCCCTCAAGTGTTCCAACAAAAATAATGATGACCCTCCCCCCACCCCACACACAAGTCTCAGGCTATACCAAAGTTTGCAGGAAAAGCACGCTATTATTTACACTGATGGGATGGGCAAAGCAAGCCACCTAAAGGTTTGATGACAAAAGAGTTCACACAGATCGGTGCTGAGTTTCCCCTTATTTTTGAAGCATTTCCAATAATCTTTTTCTTGTTGTCGATACATGATCAAAGCGAAAAGTCATCCTGTTTTCCTTTTCCTAAAAAGTGACTCTCAAAACACTCGAAAGCAATAATTTGTTTTTAATTTTTTGCAAATCGATTTCCCGGACCTGCAAACATGTAGTAGAAGCTATGACAAAATTGGCCGGAATCTCCGTGCTTTGATTTCGCTCTCCTGAGGTTTTTGTCATGTGATTGGTTTTCTAATAATACCAATTTTAAAGATAAATGTTTGAGGCCAAATTTCGACATTTCCACAAATATTTTGCTAGCTTATTTTTACTCAGAGTATTGGTTTCCTTTGAAAGAACTACGGATTTAAGTTACCCATTGAGAAGGGAACATGCGTACTCATTGGAACTCTATACAGTATGTCGGTCCATGAAAAAGCAACTCGATGGTATAGCATTTTTTCTTAGCTAAAACCTAAAAACTAGGATGACCCTCCCCTAGATAAGCCTTCGAGTGAAGATGTGACCCTCCCCTAAAGCTTGCAAAAATGATATATGACCCTCYCCTCTCYCCCCCCAATAATAAACGTACCTTCCCTAAGGCACAATAATCAATGCCAAGTCGTTATTATTTCAGTCAGGGACATCCACGAAAGAAACATAGCCTAGCTACAACACTGGCAACTCTGCATGGGATTCGTACGTGTTAAAATCAAACAAGCTGCCAGAGAGGAGATGGGGTAAGGAAGGACAAGCAGGCAGAGTTGCTACTATTTGCGCATGTATAAATAATATTAAAGCACCATATAGTTGTTGCTTGGTTGTCTTGTCCATTTTTCACAAGATTACCAGTCTATGGTTTTATTGTCAACAAACTTACCCTATTCCAAATGCAACAAGATGAGTGATGACAATTGTTGGCACAACAATGTAGAGGTTGACATTCAGAAGGTCACTGTCCAATGATATACAGATGGAATTATCAATATAATTACATGCCAATTTATACTCCCTGTATTGTAGACACGTGAGATTATTTGTGTTATTTCTGTACAAACCTCTTCATAACCTTTGTTTTTCTTAAGCTCAGATTTGTACGAGATGGAKTTTTCTTTGCACTCTTTGGATGTCTTAGTTTCCACTCCCTTAAAATGTGATGATGATAATTAATTTTAAAACATTACTGAATATTATTTTTTTAGTATAAACATACTAATGGTCTATCACTCATACTGCGCTGTGATTGGCTACTCTACTAATGGTCTATCACTCATACTGCGCTGTGATTGGCTACTCTACTAATGGTCTAATTTGTGATAGACCACTCTCGGGAAAATCAAAATGGCTTCGGCCTCGTGGACTACGAGCTAATAGCCCATTTGGCCTCACGAACTCGGCCTCATGKGCTATTAGCTCGTAGTCCACTCGACCTCRAGGTCTAATTGTTAATTAGACATGTTGAAAATCTATAACACAGCAATTCAGTAAAAGGCATGCAGGTACCATGGCTTGAACAAAATTTCTGAAAATGAACTAAAAYAAATCAAATATTTGTCATTGTCGTCACTCGAAACAATACTAATAAGTCTCATACTGATCTGATTGGTTAACTTTCTCAGCCAATTATTTAGTTTATTGATAGGGGGAAAATTGAAAAATATATAAGAGAATTCAATTTAGTTTGAAGTCTTATGTGGGCTGCAATAAAAAATGTAAAACAAAATTATAGCATAAAATTTCAATCTTACTTTGGTGGATGTCGTTCAATGCCACTTGACCATTCCCAGATCCAGTCTGTCTTTGTTTGTTGTGGTAATACTGAAACTGACTCCTAATTGACAATTAATTGAACATTAACAGTTTAATTACACTGGCCCAAAATCAAGACGCTAGAAACTGCATTGAATGCTGCTTTCAATTGTTTTCATTTGAATCATAATTTCYATTTCTACATTTCTGAATCCCTAAAAAGGGTGGGGGATGCCTGCCATCGTAATCACCCCCCTCCTCTTGGATCCACCTTTGCTACTACTATGTATCACTATAAAGAGGACCAAAGTACAAAATTATATTATGTTTTACAATGGGATAGGTGGGGTGAGTCATTATTAGCAGTATATATGCAGGCTGTGGCTGGGGGTCATATTTTGAGACAATGAACCATCCTAAATGTCAAATACATTAACAATTTGGAATATATCGATATTACTTGCATAACTAAAATATTCATGTACATATGGAAGACATGTATAAATTGGCTTCCCACTTAACTACGGCAGTAAAACATTTGAAAGATTCAAAAAGTAATTCAACGTATGTGGAATACCTATGCCATTAAGGCACGCTTGGCTGACTAATGTTGCGTGAATGGAGTGGACATGTCGAAGTGCGCATTATGAAAGCTTGAAAGAAATTATGTTTTCTGCACATATACACTGTTCGACAATTTCAGGATTTCGATAAATCTAGAGGGTCAATAATGCAGTAAAAACGAATTATTGGTAAATGATTGAATAACATTCGGTCAGTGATGTAAACAAACGAAAAGTCACCTGAGGAAAGTCTTGACCTGGGCTTTGTAATGGGCTCTTTTCGCCGCTAAAATGCAAAGATTGAATGTGTTGAAATAAAATAACTAAACGTTTGAAGCTGCTCTAGATCTAGCCCGCCATAGCTGCAATATGTCAACAATAAAACAGTAAATGAATTGGCAAATAACGCGAACAGAGCGACCGCAAACCTCATCATATCAATAAGACTCACTTCGAATTTTGTCGATAATGATCCTCTACAGCTTCTGCAAGAAGATCTTCCATTGCTCCTGATTGCGAACCAGTTGGAGAATGATGAACACTGTTTCCATTTCGAAGTGAAGTGTCTAGGTTAACCCATGAGCCTATAGAATACCCGGAGAATAGAGGGAAAASACGTATGACATTGTCGTTGCCAAAACGCAAAACACTGAAAGGTTGACTAGTTATATTAGCAATTTCATGGATATTTTACCGTTTAACGACTCGCTTGATGTTTCACTATTACCATTATTTGCCATATCTATGAGAAAAGACGAAGTTTGTTGAAGGAGCTGGGYGAAGGAGCTTTTTTATGCTCACTGATTTTCGACGTATGTTATTTTTTTCGTTCGAATTAGGATTTGTTTACAGTGACGTTTATGTTCTATGGCAGGACCAATCAAAAGTGATTATAGCATCACGTGGTTGTCACATGTTCATCTATAGGTTATGAATGGGAAATGAATGAAACATTGTCACAGCCACTATGACTAATAACTATGACTCCAGCTAAAGTTTCTTTGCTTCAATAAAATAGCAATTTCATTCAATTCTTATTATTCATGAAAAATAGTTCACTTACAATTCTCGAATCTAATGCCCTCCCCCACTCCACCTACCCACCTGCTTTTTTKGGGGTGGGGGTTGGGGGCTGTTGAAAACAGTGCATGACAACATGCGTGAGCTTGCTTAGTATCAAAGATTTGCTCGCGGCGGCGTGAAGAATATGACAGTTGCAGCATACATGCGACTGCTTCACTTGTTGTTACAGTAATCAATGAAATCGTATAGACTACCGTCGATGGAATAAGTTTATTGTGTAGTTGCTATCATTTGTTTTTCATTGTGTTGGTATTATTTCGTGACATATCAACCCCAATGGAGTCATGGAGCTGGTTGTGTCAATGAAACTTTTGAGGACATATTTTTGCAGGTGGACTGCTGCAAAGTTACAGACAGCGAATTCTTCATTTCCAGTTTAGTCCTCGTAAGCTAGAGAAAGGCTTTGGCTATGAATAGGAGTAGATCGTTGAGGGCCATTCCTTCCGAAAGAGAGGATCTGAGTGAAGAGCAACGCTCCACCTCACATCCAAACCTTGGTACGACTTTGGGATCATCTCACATGAGGCCTAAATCTAATGTAGATGATCTCAGAAGGAAAATAGTTCGGTTAAATAAAGAATTAGAAGAAGAAAGAATTTATGTCAGGCAACTTAGAAGAGAGAAATCCGTAGATTTGAAGCATGCAAAGGAGGAAGAGCAAAGACGATCAATGACTCAACAAACTGAACTTAGAGCAAAACTTCACAAAGAGAAAKCCAACGAACTGGCGGCACTCAGAGAGCATCTTCACARAGAAAAGGAAAAGGAGATAATTCAAACCATAAAACAGAAAGACGAAGTATTCAAAGCAGCTCAGTCAGCATGGCATAAAGAAAGGGAAGAACTGCGTATTAGAATTCGAAGCGAAGTCTGGAGCGACGCGCGCGAAGAATCTAGAAAGGAATTTGATCGTGAACGAACCAAACTCGAGCAAGACATTCTTGACCTGCAAATGCAGAAAAAGGAATTAGAAGAGGCTTTAAAAATCGTGCAAGAATCAGATAAACGAAAAGCAGACGATATACGAAGACTTTTTCACGAACACGATGTAAATATGGAAAAATTCAAACGGAATTCATGGCAGGAAAGCCGTCGCCAGGTAGGTTAAAATATCTTAAAAAAGTGTAATACATGTATTTTTGGGTCTATTCACACTTGTATCAAACTCACGTGTTTCTTTGTTTTTGATTTTTGTATAAGAGTAAACTAAACTTATTTAAGTAAGCTTAAATATATWTTTTTAAAAATTGAGACCCTGAAACGACATTTAACAATCAAAGAATGTAAGCTTACAATCACTTGAATACAGACAGGCCCTGTTTACCTGGAGAAAGGTCACTCTATCTTATAGGAGGGTCATCCCAGCAGAAGGGTGACCCAACTCTTGGTGCCCGGTTGTTTCGAGACATTGCCAGTTCGAGACAGGTTGTTTCGAGACACATCGTATGGACGGTTCGAGACATGTCTATGGTCACTTCGAGACACATATAAAAATAATATATAAGTTTTACATGTCAGGTACATGTAGGGTCATATCCCACCCAATCAATAGTAGAGCCAGCTTTCTGACATACAAACGCTCCATTAGGGTGACCCTAGTATAGGGCTTTCTCAAATTAACAGCCTTTGTGGTGTTTTTTAAGCTGTTATTGATGCTGATAATAGGCCACAGCCCTGAAGTAACTCACTCAAATATCAAAGGGTATAAAAATACTGAATTAGCAATTTCTGCCATTTTGTTATTTTCTAAGCTAAGCAACGTTTTTATTGCTAGCCTTGCTAACAGGTGCTCTTTGTAAAGGAGGGTAAAATGTTTATTTATCCTCTACRGTATATAGGGTCACCCTCCTTTATAGTAGTATGGTGATCAATCTCCATGGAAACAAGGCCTTATAATTAAATGTTGACATCAAGTGGCCTGAAGTAATGTTTCAAGTGGATATAGTGAAATCTTTATACCATGACACAGTCTTAATAGTCCAGGCAATCTGTGGTTGAACCTGGAACTAATTCCTACAAAAGCTTTCTATTCAGAAATATATTGGTTTTAATGCCTAGAATGACATACTAAAAGTCCCATTCGATTTGAGGCCGGCAACATTGTTTTTTATGGGTATTTGTCAAAATACAGCATGAAAGTGAGGCTGCAAACCGGAAGTGGCAAAGTAAATTGCTTTATCTCTACAGAAACAACTAAAACCTACATTATTTTATACTATTTCATGTAAATGAATATTGTAGACATTGTCTGGCATCTTAAAGCTTTCATTATCGTAAAATTTGAAATTTGAAAAACTAAACGTTTTATTACAGCTCTTTTAG